GATTACTGTAACACACTATGTGGGGTCAGTCAGGTGTCCCTTTCACGTCTCCAGCTCGTCCAAAATGCTGCAGCTCGATTATTAACAGGAACTCGTAAGTTTGAGTAGAGGTGGGCAATATGGCTCTAATATAATATTGTGATATTTCAGAGCATTCTGGTGAGAACGATAAATTTTGTGATATAAAAAAAAAAACAGAAATCATAATTATTCATTTGACAAATTAACTTAACATGTTGCTTTGCAATATTATACATATAAAAAAAACAAGGGTTAATTTTACTGAAATTACTTTATTTAGTAAGTATTCAGTCTCCAAGTAAAAAAATAAAAAATAAAAATGATCCTTCTGTTATTTAGATTGAAAAAGTCTGCACAACATATAAGTGCAGATGCAGTTTCCAAAATAACTAAATAAAATGAAGCTTAAGATCTGTTGAGCATAAATGTAACATACAACAAAATATGTGTTGCCTTTAAATGAGCTATAACTTCCAAAACTTGACAAGGTGATCAGCTGACCCTGAAGCTTGTTGGTGTTTCAGCTACTGCAGGAATGATTCATTTCTCTGATGCTCTGTCTCTGATCACCTGCCTCGTTTCTTGGTTCATGGACTGTGGAGACAGTTGAGCTGTGCGTGTTTGTACCAGCAGTTTAGAGCGGGGGAGATGCAGCCGAGAGCTGCGCCCTCACCGACAGCTCAGAGCGAGGTGTAGGGGAGGGAAAGACAGTAGAGCTGTCTGTACCTGCAGTTTAGAGCTGGATGGAGAGACAGCTGAGCCACGCGTTGTTTGTTTTTAGCATTTTAGCTAGTTAGTATACAGTCAAAAACCTTTAAACACGCTGCTGTCCAGCCTCTCCTGAAAAAAACCCAAACCTTGACCCCTCACTTGATTCCAACTTCCAGCTTGTCTCCAGACTCCCATTTGTTTTTAAACTACTGGAGAAAATAGATGAGTCCCAGCTGAAGTGCTTCCTGAAGGATCACAATATCCTAGAGCTCTTCCAATCTGGCTTTAAACCTCTCCATAGCACTGAAACTGCTCTACTGAAGTC